TGTACGTAGGAATCACACCATTTCTTTTCTCTTTTCCCTCCTACGTGAAGAAGGATTTTTGAAGTAGGTATTGATGATTTTCTGAATTTCTATAGGATCTGTAGTGATTTCATTCTTTTCATTGTTCAGGGCATGAATAGGAGTCTTTTTGCCATGCCCCAAGTGACTCCTGATGTACTTGGGGTAAGGACCAAGACAGGATGAGAAAAATAAGAAAAAACAAAGCTTGGTCTGTGGAGTCCTTGCCTCTAGATGGGAGGAAAGGTGCTGGCTCCTCACTGCAGGACCCATTATTTAAAACTTTTCACAACTTAATGTCACAGGAATCCCTGTTGTCCTAGCAACCCACTCTTCAGATTACCTTGGGGGTAGGCACTTTATGGGCTGAATCAGCTTCTTCAGGTGGCGCCCAGTTGCTCTTTGTTCTTGGAATGGTCATGCTCCAGCTTTGCATGTGTGGTCAGTTTCCAGCTTCAATGGCTCCCTACATCTTTTCTTTCCTTTTTTTGGTAGGGTTGGATAACAGCTTATCAATTTGATGTATTCTTTGAAAGAAGAATTCTTTGCTTCCTTAATTCTTCTGATTGTTTTGGTAGTCTCAGTTACATTTGTTTTCTGATCAGTTCTTTGTATTTTTCTCCTTCCTGTGATCTTTGGGATTGATTTGCTCTTCTTTCTCTAGAAGCTTAAGGTGCAACATTAGCTTGTTTATTTGTGCTCATTCTGTTTTCATGATGTGAGAATTCACCACTAAAATATCCACTCGAGGCCTGCTTTAACTGTATTTTACAGGTTCCAGTTTGTTCAATCAGCATTTTTGTTTGTTTCTTAATATTTTATAATTTCTTCTTCAATTTTATCTGTGACCATTGGTTGTTCAGTAGGGTGTTAATTAATTTCCATGTGTTTATGGATGTTTTGCAGTTTCTTTTGCATTAATTTCCAATTTCAATGCAATATGGTAGGTTAATATGCATGGGATAATTTCAGTTTCTTTGCATTTACTTAGAATGGTCTAGGTGCTAGTATATAGTCTATTTCATAAAACATCTCAAGTGCTACTGAGAAGAATGTGCATTCTGATGTTGTTGAGGGAAACACTCTGTAAACATCTTCTCAGTCCATTTGTTCACAGGTTTGGCTCAGTGCTGATATTTCTTTGCTGAGTTTTGGCCCAGTTCATCTATCTCTTTGTGACAATGGTGAATTAACGTTCTGTTATAACCTAAGCCCCCCTAGCTATCCTAAGTTCTGTTCTAAGGTATAAGCCCACCTGCTGCCTCCCTTTATCCTGCCAAAGGACAAGTATTTATTTGTGGAGGAAATATGGCCTATACTTTCCTCCCAACTAACTGGACAGGGATATGTGTAACAGCTGTCCTGTTGCCTGATATAGAGATCCTACCTGGGGATGAGCCTGTCCCCATTCCTAGTTTAGATTACATCACAGGCCACTCAAAGAGGGCAATTCAATTTATTCCTTAGTGGTAGGCCTAGAGATATCAGGAGCCTTAGGTATGGGGGCAACAGGAGTAGGGGTTTCTGTCCAACCTTCCAGCCAGATTGTTAGTGATGTGCAAGCATTATCTAGTACCATTCAGGTCATTCAAGACCAAATAGACTCATTGGCTGAAGTAGTTCTCCAAAACAGAAGGGGACTAGATCTCCTAACAGCAAAACAAGTAGAGATCTGTGTGGCACTGCAGGAACGATGCTGCTTTTAATTGACTCCTTAGCTAAAGTAGCTCTCCAAAATAACAGAGGGCTAGACCTCCTGTTAGCCGAAAAAAGAGGACTGTGCTTGGCTTTAGTTTAGGAGAGCAATGCTGCCTGTATGCTAATAAGTCTGGGTGGTAAAACAAAATTTAGCCGAACTCCAAAAAGACTTGGGATGGGCAGAACAAATGTTCTGCTTCCCATCATGGATGACAAACATAATAACGACTGTAGCCGGTCCTCTTGTTATGATTCTACTGTTAGTACTTTAGGTCCCTGCATAGTAAATAGGCTAACTGCATATATCAGGCGTTAGATGCAGAGCATAAAATTAATGATGGTTAAACAAGTGTATAAACTTGTCCCCTGAGATCTTTAGGTCAAAGATTTGACCTCAGTCACAACATCAGAGGGGAATGTTATAACCTAAGCCCCCCTAGCTATCCTAAGTTCTGTTCTAAGGTATAAGCCCACCTGCTGCTTCCCCTCCCCTTCTCCCTTCAAATCTAACTAGGTTAAGTTTTAACTTCCTAAAGGCCATAAAACAAAGGCCTGAGGTAATAGCTCCTGACAACCTGGGTCTTCCCTACCCAAAAAGACCCGGTACCCAGTCACACATTGTGTTAATTGCATTAGTCTCCAAATTGGCTCCCGGAGACTCGTCACCAGGCCTGGATTTTACCTAATAAAGCCTTTGCTTCTCAAATTTTAATTTCTTGCTTTCTTGGATTTTATACCGGGGTCCAAGTTATCACAGGTTCCCCATTAAAATTGTTTTATTACTTGTTTGATTTTCCATGTCAATTCCTATGGCTACAACCTCCCAACAGGAGCCATGCCACCACCTCAATTTTAGACTGTCGTGAGATTTCTTAGCTTGGCCTGGTGGTGCACTCCTGGAATCCCAGCACTCAGGAGGATCAGGCAAGAAAGTTTGAGGCCCACATGAGCCACACTGTGAAATTCAGTGCAGCTTGAACTACAGAGGTAGATCTCATCTCACAAAGGAAACAAAATAACAACAAAAAGATAGAGATGGGGAGGGGGGACAGAGAAAAATAGAAAGAGAGACAGAGAGAAATGTCCTGTAAGAGATTAATTAGTTTGCCCCCAATTAATCCCACCTCAGTTAAAGTCTCTGGACATGAGTAAAATGCAAACATAGTTTCTGCCAAGTCAAGAACACTCATTGTCTGGAGTCCAAAAGCCATTGAAGTCCTCTCTCCCAGCAGAAATCTCCCAAGCCTGGGCTTGATTGTCTCCCTGGTCTTCTGAGCACTGACAGGAATCCCCCATCAAATGCCACCTACCAAATTCCAGTGTTGCTTTTTCAGCTGGCATCTTTGGTCCTTTCCAAATTCTTTACACAATACTTTCCAAAGGCTCCTGTATCACATGCTCAGAAAAAGTCATATCCAGGCCCCCTCTACCCTGGTACCACTTTTTTGAGGGGTGTTTTATTTTATTTATGTATTTATTTAGAGACAGGGTCTCACTCTATGGTATAGGCTGGAATGAAGCTCACAATTTAGCCCAGGCTCATCTGGAACACATGCTGATCTCCTTGATGCAGTCTCTGGAGTGCTGGGATTATAGGGGTGTGTCATCGGCCTGGCTCTGGTATCAAATTCAGTTTTACTTGCTTTTCTCATCCCTGAAATGAAATATTGAACACCCAAAGTTAACGAAGAAAAGGTTTATTTAGCTCACATTGTGGAGAGGTTTCCTTCCATAACTGGCTGGCTCCCAGGCAGGGTGGCATGGCAGACAGGCATTGCAGGGGAGATGCTGGGATCCAGGGTGTGATGCTGGGATTAAGGGTGTGTGCTTACTGAATCAGTCCCCTGCCTGGTTTGGCACAAGTCTGTGAGTGCACAATGGGCAGCCCCGCCCTCCTCCCTGTGAGTGCTCTCCAAGAGGGCTGCAGGGTCACCTGCTGCTGGCTACTTCCCTGCCCGCTGCCTGCTGCCTGCCCTACTTTGCCATGGTCTAGTTCTCCTCTCTGATGCCCATCTGCAGTCTCAGCCTCCCTTGGAGTCAGCTGACAATGGCCTGAAAACTACCAAATGGGAGCCACAGCAATTCCTCCTTTACTTTGGGTGTCAGGTATTTGGTCTCAGCAAGGACAATGCAACTGAGACATGGTGGTCCTTCCCTCCCTTGAGAATGTTCATTCCTAGGCCCTATGAGGGTCAGTAGAGCTTTGCAGTACTGCAGTGGTTACACATGCGACTTCTCAGGTCCAGGAGCCAGTGCTCATGGAGGAGCTGGAGTTCGATCAGCTGAATCTGGCTGGCATTTCGGGCCTTGGGGCATTTTATCTCTTTGCTGATGTTTAATCAATTTGTTATTGCTGTCTGGGAATGTAGCTAGTAGTAGAACCAGGTCTTGATTTCTAGCACCACCAAAAAATGAAAAAAAATATTATTCCTCTGTGTATCTGTAATGCAATGCAGTATAATACTTTAAAAATATTTAAAATCAGATTTGTATAAACAGTGATACATGTGAAGCACAGTGTTTCAGAAAGATTAAGAAATTACAAAATGGATCAAATCTTACCATGCAAAAGAGATACAGGAAAGATGAGTCTCAGTACCTGACAAAGCACTAGAGACCAAATGTACGTAGGATTACTTTGAACACTAAATGTAAACTTTTACAATGCAGGCACAGCCATCGTAAAACATACTACCCATGTATATTGGAATTTCAAAATTTCTATGGGGTGAAGTGTATGTAACATAAACTGTAATGTTTATCTGTTTTCCTTAATGGCCTTAATGATATTGTACTGTATAACTGTCAGCATTCATCTTCAAAAGTTTTTAATGCTGACCAAATAGAATCCTGTGCATTAACCAATGACTCCCAATTTGTCTGTGTCCCAACTTCTGTTACCCATTATTTATTTAAGTTTTTCTTTTCATTTGACTGTTATGCACCTCACACAAGTGGACTGAGACTTTTGGGCTTTTGATTTGTTGTGTTTTGTTGCCGCTGGCTGGTTTGACTTAGTATAATGAACCAAGGCTCCCTGTGTCAGGATTTCCTTAACTTTTATGCCTCCTAATACTGCATTCCATGTCAATGCCAGATTTTCTTTCGCTGTTCATCCATTAGTGGAAGTCTGGCTTCTTCCCCTCTTTGGCTGCTGTGAATCACTGTGGCCACTGTGCACAGCGCTGTGGTTCCACTGACTGAAAAAGCTCTTTGCAGGTCTTGGCTGAGGTCCTCTGCAATCAGTTCTTAGATCAGGTTTCATGTTCTGAAAGTCATCTGTATTCCCTAACATCTGCCTTGATCATTGTTATGGATTGAGAACTGGTGGTCAACTTAATGCCAGCTGGATTACATCAGCATGCATTGCACTAAGATGCTCCACCTGAGGAGCGTTGACAGGAAAAAGAGGTGGAGAAGAAGGGAGGTGTTGAGGGTTGAGGTGTTAAGAAGGCGTTGTGAGTTCTACAAGTTGCTGTCTGAGCTGTTGGTTCTGGAGAAGCTTTGGTCCTCACATGGAGCATTGCTTCCTGGCTCCAGAGGGGAAGACTTGTGCTGCTTGGTCTCAAGGATGAACTTGTCACGCTGGCTTCCCAAGGTAAGCCTGACAGTGCTTTTTGTCGGAGGAACTTGGGGCCTCCGTGTCACTGAGGAACAAAAGTAGAAGGGAAGCACATATTGAAGCCCACAAATTGGCTCTATCGTTTAGCAAGAGACGTAAGTTCCTCTGCAATAATCCCTGAAGAGTCTTTAACTTATATATTTAAAACAGCAGAGAAACCACATTTTATTAGACTTGACTGCTTGCCCCAGAAATGCTATCACGAATACCTGGGGAGAGAGCGTTTCTCTCATACATGGGATTCTTAGAGGTAACAATGTATGAACTTGTTCTCTAATACGTTCATCTATATATTTCACATGTAAAATATGTAAGAATTCATGTCCGCCATTTCTTGAAATGTAACCTGGAAATATTGCTGAATGACTTTCTTTGTCACAAACATTGCATGCCCAGTAGACAAGAGCATATGTTCTCATATGTTGGGGGTGGAGTACCTGGTAAATTTTACTAAGTTCAAGCTTGATCACAGATTTGTTTTTAATTTTGAGATCTCTCTTTTTTTTTTTTTTGTCCAGATGGTCTATGTTGTTGTGAGAGTGGGGTATTAAGGCCCCCACTGCAATAGTGTTAGCCTTTCTTTGGTTTTTTGTGTCCATTGATATTTGTTTAGAGTCAGGTGTTCCAGAATTTGGTACATATGATTGCCGGAGTCTGTTAATAAGGACATAGTGTCGCTCTTTGTTTCTTTGAAGTTCATGTTTTCTGTGAATAGAAGAGTGCCCTTGTGTTTTTCTGGTATCTGGTCACATGGAATGTTGTTTTCCTTCCTTTGACTTTCAGTCTATGAGTTTTTTTTTAAGTTAAATATGTTTCCCGAATGCAGCACCTGGTTGAATCTCTTTTTATTTTTGTTTATTTATTTATTTATTTTTTTTTTGGAGGCAGGTGGTTTACTTGTAATTGAGTTAAGAATTTCACAGTACCTGGCAGTTGCTGCATTGCAGAGCTATACTCCAAGCCTGTATCTTGCTTTTCAATCTATTCTGCCAGTCTGTTTCTTTATGATCAATGAATTGAGTGCGTATATGTTGATATTTACAATTGATATGTATTGACTTACATTTTTTCCATGTTTTTTTTTTCTGTTGTTACTTTCCTGTCTTCACCCTATATATAATTGATGCCTAGTTGGTAACCTCTTTTTACTAGTGTCCTTGTGGTTATGCTCTTCATATTCTCTTTCTAATATGTGTTTCAGAGCACTCTGGAGAGCTGGTTTGGTGATCATGAGTGTCCTCAGGTGCCCTTCTCCAATAATTTTATTATTTTTCCATCAACTTTGAAAGATATTTTTTGGGGGTGCATCACTCTGGGTTGCACTTTGCTTTTTTTTAGGACTTTAAATACCTTTACTCCAAACTCTCCTTGACCTGTGCCTTCCTGTTGAGAAAATGGCTATGATTTTGATATGCTTTATTTGTTTCTTTTAGCTGCTTTTAACATTGATTTGTTGTGCTGAATTTGGCCCCCTTGTGGCCAGATGTGCCTGGTCATCAGGAGACCACAGCCAATCTCTTCACTTTCATGCTGTTGTTGGAGCCACTGCTTTGAGCCAGCCCAGGCTCCAGCCTCAGAGCTTTTGCTGACCACCCAATTGCTGGGTCCCTGCACACACATGGGATGATGTTCAGGCTGCCACCACCCCAGTGCAGATGGCCACACAGAAATATCAGGTCTTCAGAGAAGCAGTGTTTGTGGCAGGAAGGCAGGAATGGATCTATGCTCTACATTCTGTCCACAGCAGCTATTTGACAACATGGAACAGCAGAATCTCTCTGACCAGCTTTAAAGCAGGAAGGAGGGAGTCTAAGTGAAATAAATGTAGCCCTTGAAACTTAGATGCAGCTATGACGGGAGAGCCTCTGGGTGGTGGGATTGGTACGCTCCAACCTTCAAGCCAGAGGAGGGCACACGGATGGAAACCAGGGCTTTGAGTTGGGTGAGAGAGGGCAGGAAGGGATAGGACAGAGGTCATCTGAGGAGCTAATGGACCTGCGCACCTCTGGAGACAGGAGTTCCCGACAAGAGATGGAAGACACAGGCTCTCTCGGTGTGGGAGCGCAGAGTGGGTGCTGGGGACCCCGGGATTGTTCTCTGGAGTTCTTGGAAACAAGCTCTGATGTGCTGGAGATAACAGGCTCTCTTTCTGTTCTAAGCAAATTGGGGAGTTAATCCCCTATCCAAAGCCTGCATGCTGTTTCAGGCTGGTTCCATGGAATGGGCTGGGTACAAAGACAGAGGCAGAGAATGTTCTGGGGCCAGCCAGCGCTGCCCATATGACCCCTCAGACCTCTGCATGTTGTGGCCAGGGAGCACCAGGACTCCTGAGCTGTTCTGCCTGGGAGGAAGAGGCACCAAGTAGCCCTACCCCAGTGCTCACCCTCTGGGCCCGCTGTGTGCTGTGAGCTGCACTTAGGCCATTCATCCTCCCTGGGTCTACCCAGAAGGATGGCCAATATGTGCCTTCCCAGGTCCAGGTCCTGACTATACCAAGTAGGACAGTTTGCCTCAGTTTTCCTGTGGTGAGAGGTATACTGAGCCAGATGAGAGGGGACATATCATCCCTCTGGCAGCCTAACAGGAGCCTAACAGAGGGATGATATGTCCCCTTTCATCTGGACTTACAGCAGGACTTACTGACCAGGACATGAAGGCTGCGGGGAGGCTTGATTGGTCACAGAGCACTGACTTGCCCTTCCACACTTTCTTACCGTCTGAACTCACAGGCTACAGGACACTCAGTTCCTGTGTGATCAGGGACCATCTGTGTGGGAGGGAGGCCAGGGCACCCTGGGTGAAATCTGTGCTATGCCCAAGGCCCTTGTTCTGCCCTGACCTGGCTCTGAGGACAGGTCACCTGTGGATGGCTGGTGCCGGGCCACCTGGAAGGTGGTAATGAGGGACCCCTGGGCCACTGCAGGCTCACTGAAAAGAGCTGCTGGGAGAAGGCAATGAGGAGACCAGCGCTGTCCCTGCCCCACAGTGGCCAGTAAAAATTGTCACCTGCCTGCATCAGAGACCTATTTTTGCCATAAGCCTGCCCTGGGAAGTCTCCTGCCAGGAGGTGCAGAGGATGGCACTGGGTGTCTGGAGCCAGTTTGCACTGATATAGAAGCAACACCAAAGCCCAGCATCGGTGTCAGTGACACCTACCAAGTCCTTGATCTGCTTGAGAAGGATCAGTAATCCACAGTCCAGGAGGAAGGAACTTTCCTGAAACATGAGCAGAACCCTGGGCCCTCATCCTTACCACCATCCACACTGTTCCTTTTGCTCAGCCCGCATTGCATACTCAGAGGCTCTCAAGAAAAATGAGTTAGCTGTTTCGCTGCCGCGCCTAGCCATCGGTGTGCAGAAGAGGAGCTGGGCGGATCTGGGGTGCCTACATCGGCCTCTCCGTGTGTCTGGAGGACTGTGGATATCTCGGCCCAGACTGTTTGGGTCCCTCCAGGCTTCCAGGTGCAGTGAAGGGGAGAGGTGGGTTTGAGGCCTCTACATCCGCCTCCCCATCCCGGTTGCACTTGGAGAACTGCTGAGCTTCCGACGGGTGGGCGGGCCCACATTATCCCCCGAGCCCAGCCTGTTTTGCTGCCGTGCCTAGCCATCAGTGTGCAGAGGAGGAGCTGGGCGGATCTGGGGTGCCTGCATCAACCTCTCTGTGTGTCTGGACGACTGTGGATATCTCTGCAAGCAGGGAGGGATCACAGGTTCCTGAGGCACCGCGGCCTGTGGTGAGTACCCTAACCCGGCTGCGATTGAAGAGCTGTGGAGCTTCCAAGGGGCAGGTGGGCTCACAGTGTCCCTGAGGCCCAGCTTGTCTGGAACTGTGGAGTTCTGAGCAGGCAGAGGAGGGCCATTGGGGTAGTGTGGTTCTGCAGGCCCAATGGCTTGGGGTAGTGTGGTGCCAGAGCCTCAGTAGCTGCAAACATAGAAGGGGATTTTCAACGGATCCTAAGGAAGCTTTCAAATAACACTTGAAACACAGAAATATAGGAAAATGACAAAATTAAAGACCAAATTACAACCTCAAACCTCCAGCCCATCTCAAGAAACCCTAGGAGCAATGTATATAGAAAAAAATGTATGCCATCCAACTCATATATCGGACACAATAGCTACTGAAATTGACAAGGAACTCCAGGAAGCTTTAAAGAAATTCAAACTCGAAATAATCTCCCAGATAAAAGAAGAAATGATAAAAGAAATGAAAGAGATTCTGAATATATCTAAACAAAACACAGATAAAAAATTGGAGGAACTAAACAAAAAGATGGAATCCCTAGACGAGCAATATAAGAAACAAACAGAATACATAATGCAGATGCACAGAGATATACAGGAAATAAAAAACTCCACTGAAAGTTGTAAAAACCACCTTAATGAAAGTGAAGATAGAATTTCAGACCTTGAAGACAGGATTGCAGCTAGTGAACAGGAAAGGAAAGATCTTTTAAAAATAACAAGGAATCAGGAAACAACAATTCAACAACTGCAAGACGATGCAAAGAAGAATAACATAAGAATGATAGGGATTAATGAAAAAGAAGGAGACAACATAAAGGATGTCAAGAGGATATTTAGAGAAGTAATAGCTGAAAATTTCCCAAGCATGAGATCAGAAACTGACATCAGGATCAGTGAAGCACATAGAACTCCAAATAGTCATAACCAAAATAAAACTACACCCAGACATATAATAATCACCATCCCAGAAATCCAACACAAGAATAGATTATTAAAAGCTGTCAGAGAGAAAAGACAGATCACTTATAAAGGAAAACTTATCAGAATCACAGCAGACTTCTCAGCACAAACAATAAAGTCAAGAAGAGCATGGAGTGAAGTATTCCAGATCCTAAAGGAAAAGGACTTCCAACGTAGGCTGATGTATCCTGCAAAACTATCATTCAAAATTGATGGTGAAATATGATACTTCCATGACAAAGAACAGCTGAAGAACTTCATGAACACCA